AAAAAAAATTAGGGATAAGCTAGACAGTATTGGGGACAAAGTAGAAAATACTGGATATGACCTAGAAAATATTATAGATTAGCTAGAAAATAATACGAATAATCTAAAAAAAATACTGTAGATGGGCCAAAAAAATATTAGGGATGAGCTTAAAAAAATATCAGGTAGGAGCTAAAAATACTGGGGGTGAGTTAGAAATTATAGGAATAATTTAGAAAATACTGGACATGAGCTATAAAATATTACGGATGAGCTAGAAAAAATAGGAATAATCTAGAAAATACTGGGAATAAGCTAGAACATTAGGAATGAAAAAAATTATAGGGATGAGCTATAAAATATTACAGATGAGCTAGAAAATACTGGGGATAAGATAGAAAATATTAAAGATGAGCTAAAAAATATTAGAGATGAAGTAGAAAATACTGGAGATAAGCTAAAAAAATACTTGGGAATATTCGGAATAAGCTAGAAAATACTGGGAGTTTTGTAGAAAATACTTTTGACTACTGGCAGTGAGCAAGAAATTACTGGGGATGAGCTAGAAAATATAAGGGATGAGCTAAATATAAAAAACAAATACTGGTTGTGAGCTTAAAAATATAGGGGTGAGCTAGACAATATTAAGGAGGAGCTAAAAAATACTGGGGATGAGCTAGAAAGTATTAAAGATGAGTTAAACAATATTAGGGATGAAGAAGAAAACACTTGGTATGAGATAAAACATTTTCTATTGCAAATAATCTATAAAATACTGGGTATGACCTAGAAAATACTATTGATTAGCTTGAAAATACTATTGATTAGCTAGAAAATAATAGGAAAAATCTTTTTAAAAATACTGGGCATGAGCTAAACAAAATATTAGGGAGGAGCTAAAAATACTGGGGATGAGCTAGAAAATAATAGGAATAATCTAGAAAATACTTGGATTGAGCTTAAACAAATTGGGAATGAGAAAAAAAATTGGAGGATGAGATAGAAAATATTACATACGAGCTAGAAAATACTAGAGATGATCTTGAAAATATTAGGGATGAGCTCGAAAATAAAGGGGATGAGCTAGAAAATACTGGGGATGAGCTAGAAAAAAATAGAGATTAGCTAAAAAAAAATTATGTGGATCAGCTAGAAAATATTATGGATGAGCTATAAAAGGGATGAATTAAATATAGTGAGGATGAACTTGAGAATATCAAAGATGAGCTAGAAAATAATAGGAATAACCTAGAAAATACTTGGAATGGGCTAGATAATGTTAGGAACGAGAAAAAAAAATTGGGATTAGCTAGAAAATATTACAGATGAGCTAGAAAATACTGGAGATGAGCTTGTAAATATTAGGGAGGAGCTTGAAAATACTGGGGATGAGCTTAAAAATATTGAGGACCAGCTAGAAAATACTGGGGATGAGCTAGAAAATATTACGGATGAGCATGAAAATAAAGGGATTAGCTAGAAATAATACGGAAGAGCTAGAAATACTAAGGATGAACTGAAAAAATACTAGTGATCAGCTAGAAAACATTATGGATTAGCTAGAAAATATTAGGGATGAGCTAGAAAATATTAAGGATGAAATAGAAAATACTAGGGATGAGCTAGAAAATATTACGAATGAGCTAAAAAATACTGAGAATTATGAGCTTTAAAATATCATAGATGAGCTACAACAAACTAGGGATCAGCTAAAAAAATATTGAGGATGAGCTAGAAAATACTGGGGATGAGCTTAAAAAATACTGAGGATAAGCTAGAAAATACTGGGGATAACCTTGAAAATAATAGGGATGAGCATGAAAATAATAGGGATAAGCTAGAAATAATACAGAAGAGCAAGTAATTAATACTGGAGATTGATGAGCTAGAAAAATACTGGGGATCACCTAGAAAACATTATATGGATTAGCTAGAAAATATTAGGAATGAGTTATAAAATATTAGGAAGGAAGTAGAAAACATTGGGGATAAGCTAGAAAATTATAAAATATTAGGCATGAGTTAGAAAATAATAAGAATAATTTAGAAAATACTGGGGATGAGTTAAAAAAGTAGTAGGGATGAGCTAGAAAATAATAGGGATAATGTAGAAAAAAAGAAAATATTAGGGATGAAGTAGAAAATAATAGGGATAATGTAGAAAAAAAGAAAATATTAGGGATGAAGTAGAAAATAATAGGGATAATGTAGAAAAAAAGAAAATATTAGGGATG